TTCCGTATCCCTATGTTCTGTTCAACAATTGTCTCTTGATCTGTATACAGGTTTCTCATGAGCACAACTAAGTGTTCTGGAATATCCATTGTTTGCAAAGTTTGTTGTCCATAGTTTGTCGTGATTCACATAGTTGAATGTCTTTGCATAGTTAATAAAGCACAAATAAAACAGTTTTATGTTATTCTCTGCTTTCAGCCAACATCCATCGTATGTCTGCAAAGATACTCTTATACAATATCCTTTTTGGAATCCAGATTGAATTTCTGGCAGCAATCTGTTGAAGTACTGCTGTAATCACTTTTAACTTATCTTCAGCAAAATCTTACTTGCAGATGATATTAATTACATTGTTCAATGATTTATACATTCAATTAGGTCACCTTTCTTAGGAATGGTCACGTATGGATCTCTTCCTGTTGGTTGGCCAGGTATTGGTCTTCCAAATTCCATGGCACTGATGCGTGCACACCTCCAGTGCTGTATTAATTTGTTTTTTGCCAATGCCTTCAGTGCAGCTTAGACCTCTTCCTTTAATATCATTCGTTCTTGATCACACAGTATCTCTTGAAATGTCTGAACACTAGCTAATTCTTTTTCATACAGTGACTCTGTGTATTACCTTTGATCTTCTTTAGATGCTTCCTGCATCATTCAAATTTTTTGCCCATAGAATTCTTCAATATTGCAACTTGAGGACTGAACTTTTCTTCAGTTTTTCCAGCTTGAGAAATGCTGTTTTCCCTTTCAGTTTTCCAACTCCAGGCCTTTAGACACTTCATTGTAATACTGTCTTTTCAAGCTGACCTTTGATATTTTCTGTTCAGTTTTTTCATCATTTTTTTCCAGTTGCTTATCTACATTCAAGAGCAAATTTCAGAGTGTCTTTTCTTTCTTTTCTATCTTTTTAATAACCTTTGCTTTCTTCATGAATGATATTCTTGATGTCATCCCCCAACCCTCTAGTATTTGATCATTAGTGTCTAATGCATCAAAACTGTTCTTGGGATGGTCTCTAAACTCAGGTGAGATATACTCAAGGTCTTAATTTTAGCGCTAATAGACTTGTTTTAATTTCTTCAGCTTGAACCTGAACTTGAATATGAGCAATTGATCATCTATTCGACTGTCTGCCCCCCTGCCCTTGTTTTTGCTGTTGCTGCTGAGTTTCTCCATTGTCTCTTTCCACAGATGAAATCGATTTGATTTCTGTGTATTCCATTTGGTGAGTTCCATGTGCATAGTTGTAACTATTAAAAAAATGTATTGAGAATGAATAAGTCATTGATTTTGCAAAATTCTATCATTCAATCTCCAGCATTATTTCTATCACACCAAGGAAGGCCATATTTTCCAACTACCTAGCCTTCCTTGCTTTCAACTTTTGCAATCCAATCACCAATAACTGACAATGGATCACTATGCAAGGATTACTAGCAAGAAAATCAGTCTGATCAAATCCTCCAAACGGTCATAATATAGTTGCATATATCCTATGCTTTACTCTATTGGACTACACTATTCAGCTTTCAAATGTATGCCTTCATTCCAAACTTTTGATTCCACTATTTTTCCTTCCTACATCTCTCCCCTAATATCCTCACATTTCTGTCACCCTACACCCTTTCTTATCTTTCAATTCAACTGAATACCACCTCTTCGCTAAAGTCTTACCTGACTTCTACCTATCCCAAGAGATGTGTGATTGTTATAGTTCTGTGTTATAGTTTTGTGACTGGGCAAAGATTCCCCCTGGTTTGGCAGTTGGGATGTGCTTATTCTCATGGTGAAATCTAATACAGCATAGTTAACTCTACAACGATTGGCTATGAACAGCCAATCAAATGAAAGGATGTTTCCTTGGGGGTGTAGACTGCTCCCAATATAATGGACATGCAGGAAAATGCTTGCTCCTTCTTTTCCACTAGGAACCTGGGACTTTATAACTGTGAACTCTCTATTTCCTTGAATATAAATTTCTCTTTACAGTATGTGTGTGTGCGTGTGTTTCACTGATTTTGCTTCTCTAGAAAACTCAGCCAAACACAAGTGGTATTGTTTGGGGTTCTAGAGAAATAAAATCACAAGGATGAATTTTCTAAATGGGTTCCTAAGGCTGACTAATTTTAAAAGTACTGATGACTCTCCCTTCACTAGTAAAATTTGTAGGGTGGAGGCGAATCTGACCTCCGTATCACAGAAATTGGCTTTGGGCTGATTCTGAGTTTGGTTTTCTTTCCCCCTTGTGAAGTCTGAGGAAGTCAGCCATGGCCCCCACATAGTTTTTGCAGTTGGCATCAGGAGCGGGATTCACAACAATAGCTCCAGATCCATGGAAGCATGAGGTTTTGTAAGAGGAAGAACCAAGGGCCACATTTTAAGTGAAACTTGATTTTTAGATGGTGAATTTTGTTTTTGTTACCTGTAATGGCTGAAAGGAATGCAAGAGTTAAAACGCTTTAGTAGAGGGGAGAAAAGCAACTTCTGGAGTTACCTAAAGCATGCTGGTTAAATGAAATGGCTGACAGGGTGCCAGGGCCTACTGGATCACCTTGCCAAGAGGCCCAAAGCCATCTGAATATGAATGGGGTGAATCCAAAGGTATAGTAGAAAACACTGAAATTAAGTGTTTTCAAAAGGTTTATGTGATTGATTGCCTTATGGATATTGGTTTCCCCTTTCTACTACTGTAAAACAGATATATACGTGTGATGGAAATGAATGTTGGGAACAATGATTAGAGAGAGCTTGTAACCCTGCCTTCAGCTTATACTGAGTGGATTTGCTAGAAGGGGAGTTAGAGTAAGACTTTGTAGAGTATGGGGCTTTGGGTGGAATCCTGAGCCTCACCCAGTACCTTCAAGTGTTAGCACATTTGCAGACCAAGCCAGAACTGCTGGGAAAACAGGAAAGTTGTGATTGAAAGACTACCAGCAGAATAAAAGTGGACTATTTGGGTTTTGGAGTTTCAAACAAGCTATTTGCCTTGAAGACATCAAGGCAAGAAAAGTCTGCCTATCAGAGGAAATCCCCTCCTAGGGGTGCAAGTTAAAGGGAACTAAGAGCAGTCTAGTATGCTTTCTGGTCACCACCTGGGTCTACTTTTGAACGGAAGTCAGGAAATACAGCAGTGAAGACAACAGCTGAATTTGGACATGTTTCATTGATATAAGAGAGACAAGAGAAAGAGCTGGATGGACTGAAGTTTAGGGAGACATGTTAATTCCTGAGCCCACAGTCACTGACTGACCTATACCTTTGGGGCTAGGACTTAGAAGGGCCCAGTTGGTCTGAAGTACAGGGAGGTCTATGTGAACTCTCAATCTTGCAGCTGGTACCCATTTGATGTAGTTTGGATGGCTAGGGATGAGTTGACCAGAACCCAACCAGATGAAGATGTTTGATACTGTGAGCAAGTAGACGTTTGCAGCTGCTTAAAACTCTAACCAGAATGGAAAGTTCTTCATATCAAGGAACATGCTAGTCCCTTAAGTACTGTGTTGATAAGATTGGTCAATTTAGACACTGGCTATCAAAAAGCATGCGGGGGTTAGGGGAGAGAACTGACGACTGTAAAGGCATAAAGTGAGTGGCTTACACGCTTTCAGGGGTATGCTCAGTTTCAGAATGTGTGTGGGGGGTGGGGTTGGGGAGTGGTAAGGTAGAATCCCCACTGAACATGTTTCCTTTTTTCCAGATAGATCTTATAATAGGGGGTGGGAGACGATGCAGATAGGATTTTAGTATTCAATTGTGAATAACTGATAGCAGGGTTAATTGTGATGATCAAAAGTATAATTTTAGAAGATATGTAACTAAAAAGGTGTAGTAGTTAATCTTTCATTTCAGGAAGAGAAGATCCCAGATCATCAAGAAGGAAGAGCATGAATGGAGTATGAGATCCCTACCTAAAAAAGCATCGACAGCAGAGACTGGCACGCAGAGACACAGCAGTTGTGGACTCTAGGCCATGGACTAAGTAACGCTGTGTGCTTTTGGGTAGGAGGCTGACTTGTAGAATGTGCCCTTTGTACATTTAAATGCATATATTTTTATTTGGTCATTTGTGAAACATAAGATGTAACTGGAGCAATGCATTTTCAGTTGTATGTGTTTTAGTTACATCATGTTATGTACAAGTATGACTTTACAATTTTCTTTATTTAGAGATTATGCATAATGTTCATAGGTGCTATGCTGACAAAGGGTGGACTATGATAGTTATGGCTTTGTGTCAACTTAACGGGGCAAGGATTACCAGTGATTTGGTAGGTAAAATATATTTACTCCCATGGTGAAATCTAATACAGCATAGTTAATTCTATGATGATTAGCTACAAGCAGCCAATCAATTGAAACGATGTTTCTTTGGGGGTATGGACTGCTCTCAATATAATAGACATGCAGAAAAAGCTTGCTCTTTCTTTTCTACTGGGGACCTGGACTCTACAATTATGAACCATTTCCTTGAAATAAACTTTATATATATATATATATACATATATATATATATACATATATACATATATATATGTGTATATATATATATATATATATATATATATACACACACACACACACTGGTTTTGTTCCTCCAGAAAACCCAGCCTAAGACAAGATGTAACTTTTATTTCTTTTGAATCACCTCAGGTATTTTCTAGTACTTTTCTTATGGCAAATATCATTCTATTCTTTTTTATGAATATATATAGTTCTCTCCTACCCTTCATTAAATGACAAACTCCTTCAAAGGTAGATATTTGATCATACTCTATATCTCCCACACAACATACAACAAGGTCTCACACTCATTTGGTAAATCATATAACATTAACAAATTATGAAATCAAGTGAAAAGATAACTCTTGTATTAGTCTTTTTGAAAAACCTCAAAATTTAAAACAAATTAATACATCATCTTCTATAATCCAGAGTCTAGAAATAAAGTACCTCTTCATAGTTACACTTTGAAAACAATAAAAAATTAACAAATTAATCACATACAAATTTTCTCTATAGTAGGTAAAGCCTATAAAGGGCAGCTGATTTCCCACAAAAGCTTTAGGAATTGGAAATGTTTCTACATCTCCTTTATCATCTTCGATGTCATCAAAATTGCTGCTGTCTATGTCACTGCTGAGTTCAGGTACTACAGGAGCTGCAGCTATTAAAAGAAAGGAAATGGATTAATTTTATTCATAATCACAATATGAATTTGTATTAATTTCCCATGATATAGCAACTCTAAATCAATAATAAAGACCGGTATATTTTCAAATATATTGTTTTGTTCAGATATGAAATTTAAGTAACACGGTTTCTGTTGTAACATTTCAAAGAATAAAAATTTCAAGTATGTGAAAATTTTAAGTACACTAGATCAATTTACCTGTTTTGAATGCAGGTAAATCAATTAAACAAGGATGGAATACAATATTCTCAGTGTTAAAACTATAAGTAGCAATAAATTAACACATACATTATTACAATCTTCAGCTTCCTACATTTTTTAAGTAGAAATACTAGCCTCTAAAATGAATCCATGTCAAATATACATAAAATAAAAATAAACTACTATGTTTAGCATAATGTTCACGACAGAAATAATTATGTGCTGATTAATTAATATAATCCATATATTAATTAATATAATTAATGTAAACACATTCAAATTAGAGAATTATATACCTGACACTGATAATTATCAAGATGCACCCAACTCAGCAAATTAAGAAATGTACAATGTCTATCATGGAAGTATTTTGAAATCTCTCCATTTAAAAATGAGTTAACATTGAATTAACAAACACTACTGCTAATTCAAAACATGAATCAATTTATGAGATTTCAAATGTGACTAAGTGAGAATTTAAATTTATTGACTTACTTTCTCTTATGTTATCCCAATTCCATTGATCATTCTTAAAGAAAGGATGCTGTTTGATTTCTTCTACACCATTTCTCCCAAGCCGTACTTCCCTAAACAAATGCAATTAAAAATTTCTTTAACCTACATACAACAGAATGACACTGTCCAGCTATGCACCATTTCTTACAACCATTGCTATGTTTCAGTTTACCGTTATAGTCACATCTCTTGAGGTTCTCCCATTTTGGCCGACTCTCTACTTTACAAAGCATGATATCCTTCTCCAAGGACTGGTCCCTTTTGATAACATGTGCAAAGTAAGTGAGACTTTGTCTCACTCTCCTTACTTCTAAAGAGCATCTGGTTGTACTTCTTCAAATAGATTTGTTAATTCTCCTAGAAGTCCACATATAGTTTGTATTCATTGTCAATACCAATACTATAATTCAAAAGCATTACTTCATCTTCACTGTCTAGTGTTCACATGCTAGAAAACTGAAAATACTATGGCTTGAGTCAGGAATGTCTGATTCCTCAAGTGACACCTTTGCTTTTAAACACTTTAAAAAGATCTTTTGTAGCAGATTTGCCCAAATAAATATGACATTTAATTTCCTAGCTACTACATCCATGGGTATTGATTGTAGATCCAAGTAAAATGGAATCCTTGACAATTTTAACATTTTCTCTATTTATTCATGATGTTGTTCATTGGTGAAGTTGTGAGGATTTTGTTTTCTTTATGTTGAGCTATAATCCATTCTGAAGGCTGTATTCTTTGGTCTTCATCAATCAGTGCTTCAAGTCCTCTTCACTTTCAGCAACCAAAGCTACATCATCTACATATCTCAGTTGGCTAATGAGCCTTCCTCTAGTTTTGATGTTGTGTTCTTTTTTATATTGTCCACCTTCTCAGATTATTTGCTCAGCACACAGGTAAAATATGGTGAAAGAATAAACCCTGACATATACCTATCCTGATTTTAATCACACAGCATCCCTTGTTCTATTAGAATGACTGCTTCTTGTTCTATGCACAGACTCTGCACGAGGACAACTGAGTGCTCTGGAATTCCCATTCTTCACAATGTTATCCATAATTTGCTATGATCCACACAGTTGAATGCCTTTGCATAATCCATAAAGCACAGGTAAATATCTTTCTGGTAGTCTCTGCTGTCAGCCAAAATTCATCTGACATCAGCAATAATATCCCAGTTTTATAGCATCTTCTGAATCCTATTTGATTCTGGTAGTTCCTTGTTGATGCACTACAGCGACTGTTTTTGAATGACCTTTATCAAAATTTTACATGTGTTTGATATTAATGATAGTTTGATAATTTCATGATTCTGATGGATCTCTCCTAGTCAGTTGACCAGGTAGTGATCTTCCAAATTTCTTTACATACATGAGTGAGAGCTTCCGGCATTGCATTTATTTGTTGAAACACTTCAATCATTATTCTATCAAATCCTGCAGTTTTTATTGCCAGTGCCTTCACAGTCAGTATCATTGGTTCTAGATCATATGTTAAATAACCCTTAAATGGTTGTAAAGCAACCAATTCTTTTTGTTATAGTGACTGTATATTCCCTTTATCTTCTCTGATGCTTTCTGCATCATTCAATATTTTGCCCATAGAATGCTTCAATATTTCAACTCGAGGGTTGAATTTTTTTCTTCAGTTCTTTCAGCTTGAGAAATACCAAGTTTGTTCTCCTCTTTAGACTTTCTAACTCCATCCAGGTCTTTGAGTATTTCATTATAATACTTTACAAGTCACCCTTTGAAACCTTTTGTTCACCTCTTTTAATTCATTATTTGATACCACTAGACTTAAAAACTGTGATGTATAAGTAAATACCATACAAAGTGAAATGTTTCCATCCATAGTTAACTTTAAAGAAAGTACACAAAAGATGCTCAAAGTAAAAATTATCCATATGTGCCCAAACCACAAGTTCAATTTTAGGGCATAAATGGACAGAGGTCTAACTTCTAACACAGAAGTTACTTAAAACCTCTCTAATAGAAATATTATTTTGAAAAATCTCCCCCATTCTAAAACAACAACAACAACAAAACACATATATGTGTGTGTGTATGTATATAAAATGTTTAAAATTCTTCATATGCACTCTGACAAATTATATCTATGTATTAAAATTATCATTCTGAATACAAGAAAAATATTACTGAGAATTTCATGTTCTGATCTGAGTTTTTTTATGAAGAATGCATTGAAATAGTGAGTTGTTAAGTGCCATCAAGTCAGTTCTGACTCATAGCGACCCTGTAAAGGGTTTCCAAGGAGCAGCTGGTGAGTTTGAACTGCCGACTTTGTGGTTGAAACTGACCTTGCAGTCCAGTGCTTTATCCCATAATGCCACATCAGGACTCCATAGATGTTATAGGTATGTTTAGCATTGAACAGGAATTCTTGTAGCTATTAGAGGGACGTGCTCCTGACCACATTTACGACATTATTTTTAAAATATCTGTTTTCCACCTATAATCATCGCCTATGTTGTACCCCTTCTAAAATCTTGATAAATCTTTAATGAATAATGACTTTTCCATTAACAGAGAGACACACAGTTTTTCATTCAGCACAAATTATGACCCTGCAGCACAAACATTTCATCTTTTTTCCAAATCAAAAATAAAAGCTGTATTTTCAGTTTACTGGCATTGCTTATTAATCATATAATTTTTTAAAAATAAAGTTTTAGTCTACAAGTTATTGATGAAAATGGTTATCCTTTCTAAAGAAGACACAGTAACTTTTCTTTCTCAGATAGCAAAAGAAAAACTTTGTAATACTCAATTTGATTAGAGTGCAGAAAACAACTGCTATTAACAGACACGGGGGCTTCAAAAAGTTCATGGAAAAATAATATGCTGTGAAATTATACCATTTTCAAACTAGAAATACCCTTAATTATTAACTAATCTAAACCACTGTCTTATGGATGATTAAAATTAGTTCTCAGAAAAATATGTAATTTTCCAAAGATCTTTTGATAAAGTAATTCCTACCACAATTATAAAATGGAAAATTACTGAACAGAGAGACGAAGTAATAAAAAATAGTTTTCTAGTTTCTCTTTTGAAGTAGATTTTCATAAGTTTGTTTTTTAAAATATATAGAAGGTCCAGATTAGACTCGTTCATATTCAAATGCAAAAAAGAGGGTTGGGATGGAAGCATTCCAAGTCAAAAACAAATAGTTTCTAAGATTAAAATCTAATACAATCAATGTTACCAAACAATTTATATAGAAAGAAACTGCTAAATGGGGACCTAAACTGCTATGTAAACTTTTACTAAAAACACAATAAAATGTTTTGTTTTTTTAAAGAAAAACTAGAATCTGTTGAGTATTTATCTAATAATAAAATACCTTCCCATCAGAGGTTAATCAAGAGTAACATGGATAAAACACTCTAAAACTGTAAAATGTGACTATTTCCGAGAAATAAAAGTTGTGTTTCTTTAAAATGCATTATTTTATCTATGACGTGAGTTACAGCTGCACACACAAACTAATGAGCATAGTCCAGAACCAGGCTTAAAATGCACCACCCACAGGCATCACGTCAATTCCCATCACAGGACTGCTCTAAATACAAGGCCAGAAGTTCAAACCCACTAGCCACTCCTCAGGAACCCCACAGAGAGTCACTATGAATCTTTATGGACTCAATGGAACTAAACAACAACAATAATAGAGTTCCTGATGATGCAAATCTTGATGGGAGCAGAAAGCCTCACATTTCTCCTGTGGAGTGGCTGGTAGAGTTTAATAGATGACCCTGTGGTTAGCAGACCAGTGCTTATCTTATAATGCCACCAAGGCTCCTTTTATCTTTCTTAGCAGTAGGAAAATTGCTAACCCAGATTTAAATACAAGTTGAATTGATTTCATACGTAAAATAAGCATGCTTTCATTTTTATAAATTTACAAGGACAAAGGTTTCTCTACAAAGAAACTGAATGCGTATTACCTATCCATTAAGAAGGCACAGATGAGATTCTTTGCATGTTTAGAAATTTCTGCATCTTCAGGGAAACACAGTGAGTTTTTATGATCCATAATTTTGCTATATGTTCCTACCAATGAATCTGCATAAAATGGTGTATCTCCTAAAATTTCAAGAAAGAATAAAACAAATGTAAGAAAATGCAAATTAAATACTTTCCATATAATATTTAAATTTGCTGTCAAATTTGTCTCAGGGATTAAAAGATAAAAAATATATGAAAGGTCTATAACCAGGTATTCCAGTCAAAATACACACAACCACAGAGAATTTAGCCACTAATGACCCATCAACCATTAAAAGGAAACTAACAGTAATGTTACCTCTAGATTTAAAAGGAAAAAAAGAAAGAAAGAAACAATCTATTGACTAGTTCAAGAGAAAGATTACTAAACAAAAATCAGAGTCCTAGAAAGCTTCAGCAGGATCAACCTACTGACGTTATTCTCTAGAGTCGTTTAGTAAAATTTAGTAGCCACAAACAGCAATTTAAAGTTACATTAATTAAAATAAGATAAAATAAAAAGCCCAATCCATTAGCCACACTTAAAAGTGCTCAATGTAGGTAATGGGTACTGTATTGGGCAGCGAAGGTATAAATCATTTCCATCATCATACACTGGATAGTCCTGCTCTAAGACGAACTGTATTGCACTGAACCACAAGGTCTATTTGAACTGCAAGATTGGTAGTTCAAACACACCTTGGAAACCATATACAGACAGGGTTGCAATGAGATCGAACAGACTCAACAGCACTTAACAACAACAACAACACTGTTTTATATGAGAGATGACATACAACTTGCCTAAGATCATACAGCTAGAACTAAAAAGGGTAGAAACTTGTTTCTCAATACTTCTAACTAATGACTGGAACATAGCATCAAGTACAAGTAATTTCAGTATAAATGATACTTTTCCAAATCAGACATTAATCCAAAACCTCAAAAGAGGTATTCAGGCAGCCAGTCTCTCTTTTTGCTTTTGATGGAGGGTGAGGGAGACTGAATCTAAGATTTTTCTCATGCCATTTTTAGCTGAAATAGTCATTCTCAAGTGCTTTTGAGTCAGTTTGACTCATAGCCACCCTGTAAAGAGTTTTCAAGGAGCAGCTGGTCACTTTGAACTGCTGACCTTGTGGTTCACACCAACCTTGCAGTCCAGTGCTTATCCTATAGCATCACACCAGGACACCAACTGAAGTTATTGTTAAGTGCTGTCGAGTTGGTTCCGACCCATAGCAACCCTGTATAGGGTTTCGAAGGAGCAGCTGGTAGGTTTGAACCGCAGACCTTACAGTTCAAATTGACCTTGCGGTCAAGCACATTAACCCACAGCACCACACTAAGATTCACCAACTGAAGTAGAGTCTTTTTTAAAATGAGTTTCAGTGTCAACCACGCTGAGGGTAAGCACCAGAACAAGCTTAGAATACTGCAAATTATTACCATTTCAAATTTTCTAAGTTCTGTTCTCACAGTTAAAACAGTAGAGGAATTTACATAGCCCAATCAAATGAGCCAAATTACTTCTTCCAAAGTGCAGTATTTTCTAAATCCCTAGAAAGAGTGTCAAAGAAAATGAGGAATTATATTCTACTTTCAAAAGATTACTAAGGCATTATTATTTTGGGCCAGAGGTAAGAATAGATAGCTACCTGAGAACATACAAAGAGACCCATTATAAATGACCAAAAACAAAGAACATACTACGACAGATTAAGCATAACAAAATCTATACATGCAAAATGTATAATGCCACTATAAAGTTACATGACTATTTAGTATTTAAATTTGGGGTGTACCTAAATTTTGGTGTTTTCTTTAAAATTAATAACACATTCTATTATCGTGCTGATTTTACAGATTTTTAGATCACTAAGTTCTGGTGTGGCATTGTGGGCTAATATGCTGTAATTCAATGTAGGTTTGAACCACAAGGTTAGTGATTCAATCTCACCAGATGCTCCTCAGAAACCCTATATAGGGTCACTATGGGTGGGAATCGACTCAACAGCACTTAACAACAATAGCAACAACTTGTTTTGCTCCCCTCACCCACAAGCCTTGTATTCAGTCATTCACTGGGTTCCCAGTCAGAAAATATTTTTGTGACTCTAGTATAAGTTTCCAGTTATCCAGAAGACAGTGGTCTTATGAAACTCCACCATAAGACAAAATGGCATGAAGCAAAGAAACAATTACCATTAATTTATATGGAAAAACTTTTTTGAACATTCCCAGACTCAAATAAACCTACCAAATAGCAGCAATAGCCTAAATTAACACTAACATATAAGTGTTCACAAGTACAGTTTAAAGTTATGGAGGCCTGATATTGAATATAGTTTCCTAAGAAGGAACTTGGTAACAACCATTCGTGATGCTCTGTACCGGCTCGCTGCTACATAAATTCTGAATGCTAGTTTCATGATTTGCCTTTCTTCATAAAATCAGAAATCTTTGGATCTTTTTCAGTTAGAGGAAACAGGTACTAAATGTAGTTTTTGATAAAAGTGAAGTAGTATAAAATGAACTTTCTAAAAGTAGGAGATACCTGTACTTGGAATTGGAAATCTTAGAAATGAACCTTAATGATTTATTTCACTGATAATATAAACCAAAAATTAGTTACAGTAAATGAAGAAATACACAGTTTTAAAAATCAATTTACTAACCAATAGACATAAAAAGGATAATAACAGAATATTATGAAGTGTTGTATTCCAACATATTTGAAAATCTAGAGAAGATGGATACATTTTTAGGAAAGCACGACCTACTTAAACATACACAGAGGGAAGTCGAAAACTTGAACAGACCTATAACAAAGGAAGAAATTGACCACGTCATCAGAAAACTTCCAACCAAAACAAGTCCAGGTCCACATGGCTTCACTGGTTGAATTTTACCAAACATTCAGGAAACAGTTGTCACCAATTCTACTTAAAGTATTCCAGGACATAGAAGAGGATGGAAAACTTCCTAATACATTCTATGAAGCAAGAATAACCCTCATACCAAAACCAAGGAAGGATATCACTAAGAAAGAAAATTATAAACTAATATCTATCATGAACATAAATACAAAAACTCTCAACAAAATCCAAGTCAATAGAATTCAACAACTCATCAAAGAATAAAATATTAAGACCAAATGGGATTCAGATCAGGGTTGCAAGGATGGTTCAACATTAGAAAAAGCTATCAATGTAATCCACCACACAAGTAAGAAAAAGGAAAAGAACCACATGATCATATAGATAGATACAGAAAAGGCATTTATAAAACCCAATATCCATTCCTGATAAAAACACTCAACAAAGTAGGAATTGAAGGGAAATGCCTCAACATAATTAACAGCATACATACAAAACAAATAGCCAATATCATTCTCAACTGAGAGATACTGACAGCCTTCCCTTTGTGAACAGGAACCAGACAAGGATGCCCTTTATTACTATCCCTATTCAAAACTGTGCTGGAAGTCTTAGGCAGTTATAAGGCAAGATAGGGAAATTAAAGGAATCCAAATTGGCAAAGAGGAAGTAAAACTCTTTCTGTTTGCAGACTATATGATCCTATACATAGAAAACTCCAAAGAATCAGCAAAAAAAAAAACTACTGGACTGCATTGGAAGATTCAGCAAAGTGGCAGCATACATGATCAACATACAAAAATCAGTTTGATTCCTCTATACTTATAATGACAGCACTGAAAAGGAATTTAGGAAAGCAATACAATTTACAATAGCCACCAAAAGGATGAAATAACTGAGAATAAATGTAATCAGAGAAACTAAGGACCTATACAAAGAAAACTACAAAACACTACTACAAGAAACCAAAAGAAACTTACAAAAATGGAAGGCTATACCATGCTCCTGGAGTCCTAGTGTGGTGCTGTGGGTTAATGCATCAAACTGCAAAGTCAGTGGTTCAATCTCACCAGCTGCTCCTTGGAAACCCTAGACAGGGTCACTATGGGTCAGTATCGACTGGACAGCACTTAAAAACAACAAAAACCATGCTCCCGGATAGGAAGACTTAAAACTGTGAAAATGTCAATATTACCCAAAGGAATCTACACATATAACACAATCCCAATCCAGATTCCAACGACATTCTTTAAAGAAATGCAAAAAAACAATAAAAACTTTATATGGAAAGGAAAGACACCCAGGATAAACAAAGAACCGCTTAAGAAGAAGAACAAAGTTGGAAGCCTCTCACTCCCTGATTTAAAATTTTACTACATGGCTACAGTGGTCATAACAACCTGGTACTGGTACAATAAAAGATACATAGATCAATGGAACAGAATCGAGAATCTAGAAATTAACCCATCCTCATACAGCTAACTGATCTTTGAAACAGAGCCAAAGTACACTGAATGGAGAAAGACACAGTATCTTCAACAGATGGTGTTAGCAGAAGTGAAAATCAATATGCAAAAGATTGAAACAAGACCTTTACCTCATACCATATACAAAAACCAACTTGGCATGAATTAAAGACCCAAACTTGAATCCCAGAATTATAAAGGTCATCAATGAAAAAATACAGACAAATTTAATGGAGCTAATGCAGGGCACAAACAGACTACAAAACATTGTGAAAATTACACAAACAGAAGACGACAAAAGAGATGACTGGGACATTCTAAAAATTAGAAACATATGTGCATCAAAAGATTTCACTGAAAGACTAAAAAGGGAGCCCACAGAAAAGAAAAAAAATCTTTTGCAATGACATATCAAACAAGGGACTAATTTCTAAAATCTATAGGATTGAGGCACAGTCTGAAGAGGGAAATAATGTTAAAATGTTTGACAGTCTTATGAATATTGTTTTCCCTTGCCTACTATGGTAGGCATTTGAGTGGGATAGAAAGGAACATTGGGAAACATGATTATGGAAAACTTGTAAGACCGTGTTCAGCCTGTAACTGATTGGAATACCTAAAAGGAATTCTAGAACTTGCCCAGTGAAACAAGACTTCTTGCGGAGACTTTGGCTACTTAGGACCTTAGGTGGAATCCTGAGCGCCATCCAGAACCTTCTGATGTGGGACATTCCCACTAGAAAGGACAAGCAGACCAGCCTGGAACACCTAGAGTAACAGAAGATACTTCTTGAAAGAAAGATCAGCAGGAAAAATCCAAAACAAAAATGACAGTCTGATTGGCTACTATAAGAACAAGCAAGTTGGTGACCAGGGAGCCATCAAGGAAAGCAATTAGGTCCCTTCAGGACAACCTCCTCTCTAAGACTGAAACTCAAAGGGAACACATGAGCAAGCATGTAAAAGTTGATGGCAACCATGAAGAAATGGGCAAAGTTTAACTACATTCCATAGACTCCCGCTAACCTCGCGATTAGAAAAAGAAAAGGAAAGTCTGATTAGTCCGGTGTGGAGCGACTGGGGACTCCAGAGCCCACGGAGGGCTAGAGCTGACAGTGAAGCATCCAGCTGATATGAAGTGAGAGGAGTTGCACAACAATGCCCAAACTTGCAGATAGTACCTATTTGACCTAGCCTTGATGGCTTGATAATCAGAACTAGACTAGAGGAGATAATTTTTTTTTTTTAATTTTTTGAAAAAGGAAACAAATGTAAATTACTACAATTTGATGAACTTGACCTATACTTACGGATGTAGTAGCTCAAAATATCAACAGAGAGAGAAAGAGTCTTCACATCAAGTATCAATGCTATCCCCTCTGTATACAGGGTAGATACGGATGGGCAACTTAGACATTGGCTACCTAAAATGAGGTGGCAATAAAAGCATGAAGTGACTGGCTTACAAAGTTTCAAGAGGGAGTTTAGTTTAAGAGTGTGCGGGGAAAGAAAAGACCCAACTGAATAGTTTTCATCTTGTCTAGATGGGTCTGGTAAAGAGATGGGAATAAGATTCTTATGATTCAATAGTGAGTAATTATTATCATGACTAACTGTGACTGTTCAAACAGAACATGGGAACACTGAATGGTTTAAAATTAAAAAAAGGTGTGCGACAAGGTTGTATTCTTTCACCATACTTATTCAACCTATAAGCTGAGCAAATAATTCAAGAAGCTGGGTTATGTGAAGAAAAATGTGGCATCAGGAATGAAGGAAGACTCATTAACAACCTGCAATATGCAGATGACACAACCTGCAATATGCAGATGACACAACCTCCTTGCTGAAAGTGAAGAGGACTTAAAACATTTACTGATGAAGATCAAAGAGCATGGCCTTCAGTATGGATTACATCTCAATGTAAAGAAAACAAAAATCTGGACTTCTGGTTGGGGCTTCAGCCATGTAATACCAGGAAGGGCCGAGAGAAAGGAATAGCCAGAAATATCACCATAGAAAGCTTGTAAGTCCGTTTTCTGCATATGACTGAATGGAATACCTAAAATAGGGCTACAGCGTGCTCAGTGAAGGAGGCTACCTGCAGAGCCTCTGCATTACATAAGACTATAGGTGGAATCCTGAACAGCATCTAGAATCTTCAGAGGTGGGAAATTTCCTCTTGAAAGGATGGACAGACCAGCCTGGAGCATCTACAAGAACAGAAGATACTTCTTGAAAGAAAGACTGACAGGAAAAATACAAAACAATATAGGCAGACCAACTGATTACTACAAGAACAAGCAAGTTGCTCGCCCAGGAGACATCAAGGCAAGGGGTCAGGTCCCCTCAGAGTAAACCCCTTTCCACGACTAAGACGCAACGGGAATACACACTCTGATTGGTGACCACGTTCTCCACCGGTAAGGGGAAGTGAGGGAAAAACAGCAATAAAACTGAGAGCTAAGACCTACAATGTTCAATAGACACCTGTGAACCCAAGTGGAGAACTGGTTGGCCAGCAGTGTGACAAGACCTGGGGGCTCTTGGGCCCAGAGTCAGTGACATAGCCATGGAGGGCTGGAGAGGAGAGTGAAGCATCCAGCCAAAGAAGAGAGGTCATATGCACAAGAACACCCACACTTGCAGATAATACCCACTTACACGGCTTCAATGACTAGATGATCAGAGAGCTCAACTAGAAGAACAAATAAGAGGAATCTGATACAATTTGACAAACTTTTTGTGTATGTCACCACCACCCCCAACAAAAAAAAGAACATAAAACAGGGAATAGATGCAAATACTTTTGAATGATGATGCTTGGTGGAAACTGTACTCATTGCAATGAAATGAGTATAAAATCGATGTTCTCCCATGTAAACTTGCACTCAATTTACAATAAAACCCTTTTTTAAAAAAATCAGTTTGCTATTGTTAGTTGTCATCAAGCTGATTATGAATCATGGAGATACTATGTGTACAGAGGATTTTCAAGACTGTGACCTTTAACAAGCAGATTCAAGCTTGTCTTCCAAGGATCTATGGGCAGGTTTGAACCATTAACCTTTAACTAGTAGTCACATGCTTAACTATTTGTGTCACCCATATCATAATTACATAAGAGAACCAAAAAGTACTTTTAGCTCTCTATCACTATCCAAATAAATATTAACAGCTTTACATGTAAAATATTACAATGAAAATTGTTGGTAAATAAAAATCTTAGAATGGTGGTTTGGTGCAGCAGTAAACTTGCTTCCTGGTCTAATATTTTCTTAATATAAGCTTTAATGGAGGAATACTTCCTAGTAGTATACTTTTAATTCTTTTGTAGTCTATGTATTTTACTCAATCACTGTTCCAGTATACAACTTGATATTGTTGTTGTTGTTAAGTGCCATCGAGTCGGTTCCGACCCATAGCGACCCTGTACAGGGTTTCCGAGGGTGTAAATCCTTACGGGAGTAGAAAGCCTCATCTTTCTCCCGCGGAGCAGCTGGTAGTTTCGAACCGCTGACCTTAAGGTTCACAGCCCAATTCGTAACCACTACGCTACCAGAGCGCCTTTGATATTAGTTTCAAATAAACCTTCTGTCCTAGCAAATACTATACTAAGTGAGCTTCCAGAATTTTCATGTCTATCTTAGGACATGTTGTTATTGTTAACTGCCATCGAGTCAGTTCTAACACATAACAACCCTGTATAGGATTTCCAAGGAGCAGCTGGTAAGCTTGAACCACCTACTTTGCGGTTCAAATAAACCTTGCAGTCAAGTGTTTATCTCTCTAAGAACATAGTCAGTTAATTTCCTCATATTCTCAAATTTTTTACTTAAAATTAAAATGTTATGAGAAGGGTCTTGGCAAAACAGGTTAAAATATTTACTTACCCACCAACATCTCAAAAAGGAAGACACCTACAGACCACCAATCACATTCTCGCCCATAGTAACCATCACCCCCTTGTGACTTCAGAACCTCAGGTGAAATATAATCAGGTGTCCCAACTGCTGTATCACAATGCACCATGCCTGCCTGGGTAAATAGGAGATAAAAGAAAAATGGATCAGGGTAAATATACACACACACTTCAATCATTTATTTTTACACACACAGCCAAACCCATTGTCATCGAGTAGATTTTGACTAATCACTACCTGGTATTGGTTTCCAAGGCTGTGTATCTTTATAGAAGCAGAAAGTTTCATCTTTCTCCCGTAGAGCAGCTGGTGGATTTGAACCACTGACCCTGTGGTTAGCAGTCCAGTGCTTATCCTATAGTACCACTAGAGCGCCTATTAGACATACAGTGACAACAAACTGCTATCAAAAGAACTTCATTGCTAACATGGCTTTGGGAGGACACAGGATAAATGCATTATGAAATAATTCAATGGCCTTCATCAGAAAACGATGGAAAAGGTGGTAAACTCCATGGGGATTCCCTGCAAAACAACATATTTTATTTTTCTGATACTACAGCAATAGCAACAGCAACAGTAGCATGGCACAACAGGAGCCAGGAGATGGGTGTGAGATGGTTGTGGTGGGGTTTTTGACCCACGAAGCTAAAAGTTGTAATACTTGCTCAAGAAGGTCTGTAGCAGAGCCCTGCATCAGACAGTGAGAAGAAGCTGTCCTGGTCTAGAAACTGTGACCTGAGTTGTTCCTATTAATTCTGAGTTGACCCTGATCCTGAGTTTTAAATGTTACTTACCTAGTAAACCACTTAAGTGTTAAAAAAAAGTCTATCCTGCAATAAATACAATGCTGTCAGTGATAAGATAATGTCCATATGCCTGCACAGAAGGCAAGGAGCTCTCGTAGCTTACTGGGTTACAAGTTGGACTGCTAACTACAAAGTCAGCAGTTTAAACCCACAAGCCATAAGTTCCTTTTTCCAACAACACAAATGGTGACAACACACGTGGACTTCACCATATGAAACACACAGGAATCAAATCAACTACCTCTGTGGAAAGAGATGACGGAGAAGCTCAATGTTATCAGCCAGAAAAAGACCAGGAGCTAACTGTGGAACAGACCATTAATTGCTCATCTGCAAGTTCCAGTTGATGCTCAAGAAAATTAAAACAAGCCCACCAGAATCAAAATATGACCTTGAATATACTCCATCTTAGTATATTTAGAGAATGTCTCAAGAACAGGTCTGACACACTGGACACTACTGACCCAATACCAGAGGACTTGTAAGAGTAAATCACACACTAAGAAAGCAAAATGTCAGTAGTAAGAGGAATTTTTAAAAAGAGCAAAATGGATGTCAGAAGAGACGCTGAAACATATATTTGAATGTACAGTGACTAAATTGAAGATACGATGAAGTAAAAGAGCTGAACAGATTTCAAAAGGCAGCTTGGGAAGACACAGTAAACTATTATTATAATGGAATGTGCAAAGATCTAGAGTTAGAAAATCAAAAGGGAAGAACATGTTCGTCACTTCTCAAGCTAAAAGAACTGAAAGAAAATTTGAATTCTTGAGTTACAATATTTAAGAATTCTATAGTCAAAATGAAGAGTTCGGGTAGCGTAGTGGTTACGAATCGGGCTGCTAACCTCAAGGTCACCAGTTCGAAACTATCAGCTGTTCCGCGAGAGACAGATGAGGCTTTTCTGCTCCTGTAAAGATTTACAGCCTCGGAAACCCTGTACAGGGTCATTATAAGTCGGAACCGATGCCATGGTACTTAACAACTACAGCATAGGCAAAGTGGACAACTACAGCATAGGCAAAGTGGAATCCTGGTGTAGTGCTGTGGTTTGAACTGCAAGGTCGGTGCTTCAAACTCACTAGCCATTCCTTGGCAACTCTACAAAAGGTCACAATGGGTTGGAAATGACTCGATGGCACTTAACAACAACATAGTATAGTTGGAATCCTGGTGTGGCACTGTGGGTTAAAACACTGGACTGCAAGGTTAGTTTGAACTGCAAGGTCAACGTTTCAAGCTCACCTGCTACTCTCCTTGGAAACCCCATACGGGTACACTAAGAATCACAACTGATTTAACAGCACTTAACAACAATGATATAGTTACAAGTACAAATCAGGAAGTCTAAAACAGAGTAATAAGAGTGTAGCTTTTCTGTTTCTACTGCTGTTCATTTACTTATGGAGCCATTTAATGGCTAGTACTTCACTGATACCATGATAAAGGCAGTCTTTTCACTTACACCTAATATTTTCTGCCTTGGCTATCAACAGCTTAATCATTTGAATTTCACACATAAAATTTCCTAGGGCAAAGGGGACTTTAATTTTGGAAGAGTAGTCTTCATAATTTTTAATTACTTTCTAAATTCTATACAAATATATTTTAGTTGTATTATACACTTTTAGTTCATTTGAAGTACGTTTTTTATTTTATCACAGTTAATTGACAATGGTGCTGCATTTTATACAGATTCTGGACCTGAATTTCAAGGGACAATAGTCAAATAGAAAGAGTGGTATCTGTGTGACTATTGCTCAAGGTTCTATGGAGGGTTGTGTATTTACACTGGTTTGATGTAATTGTTGACGCCAGAGATGGATGCAGAGACGATGACATGGTGAGATGGAGCAACTGCAGACTCTAGATTCATAGAGGGAGCGTGGCTATGTGCTAGTGGCCGGGGGGCAAGTTTTCAGGGTATGCCCTTTGGTTGTTTGAATGATTTATATATATATATATACTTTTTTTTTTTTCTGAGTGCTTCGATATACAACAAAACAAAACATGGGAATATAAGCAAATGCTGTTGAATAATGATCCATGGAAGGTATTGTAGTCATTGCAATGAAATGAAATATGATAGGATGAGTGAAAAGCTGATGTTCTCCCACATAAATATCACTCAATTCAAAATAAAAACCTTAAAAAAAAAAAATTCATTGAAGTTTTGCTTTGTGGCCTAACACATTCTGGAGAATGCTTCATGTGCACTGGATAAGGATGTACACTGAGCTGTTGTTGGGTTGAGTGTTGTGTATATGACTGTGAGGTCCAGTTGGTTGGTTGTGTTATTTAGTTCTTGGGTGTCTTTGTTGAGTTTCTTCCTAGTTGTTCTGTCTCTCATTGAAAATGGATATTAAAATCTTCTATTATTGTTTAAAAAAAAGAGAGAGTTTAGAGTCTATTAAAGATTATATTATGCCATATACCGTAAGAAGTAGCTATGAGCACAACTGAAAATTTTTGCTTACCAAACATTGATTAATGTATGCAGAACATAGCAACAGATGCTATTAAGACCAAAGAGGTAGCAGGATGTTGGGTACAGGGAAATACAAACCAAAGAGAAAAAAATGACCCATAAACTATAGCAGAAATTTTGGATAAGTGATAGAACATAATGGAATTATAACCATAATTAATAAGGATTATCAGGGAAAGTTTTCTAGTGAGGTAAAATCTGAGCTAATCTTGTAAGAGATGAACTGCTGATGAAGGTAGTGAAATCAATAAAAGTAAATGCTACTAACGTGATATGAATACCTTAAGGCATAAAGAGAAAAGAAAATAAGTATAACAGAAAAATAAAGGTCTTGACTAGATAAAATAAAGACAAAAATTGTTAAGTATAAGAAAACCAGTATCATACTTGGCTATAGCATTAATGCTACTATTAAACACAATACAACAGGGCTTAAAAAACTTCATGGAAAGATGGAATTAAAAGTTAATGGAATTTTTTCATGAATTTTTTTTTTAAGTTCCACATATGAATTGCTCCAACAAAAAAGTACCACAATAGACAACGTCCCCCAAAATTCTATGTGGTTGATGTAAATGGGGTAGATGAGAGGGGGTAACATAGATTTCTTACCTTAACTCTGGTTTTAAACAAACAAAAAAAAAAGAATAGAAATATCCATGCACCAAATTTATATTTGGTGTCCTACTACTTTATCTGGACTCCTGGTGAGGCATTATTGGATAAGTACTGTACAGAGATCCGTAAGATTGGCAGTTCAAACCCACCAGCTGCTCCTCAGAAACCTCATACAGGGTCACTACAAGTCAGAACCGAACTGATGGTACTTAACAAAAACAAAAAATAAAACTACTTTTCTCTATCATTAGACACATTAACTAGTTCTAATTGCTAACAAATGTTTACCAACATTCTATGGGGAAGATAAGGATTTATGTTATCCAAGTTCTTATTTATCTTGGATTCCCCAAATCTAGTACTAATTCACACTGAAGCTAGCTGAATAATTATTAATAAAGCAAATGCTTTGAGTTTGGTTATTTGAAAATCGTGTTTGGGTTGTTACACACTTTTAATGTCCTGATTTGAAATGTTCTTATATTTTTGTTCCTCAAAAAATAAAATTTAAAATCCTGCTTTTTTTTTTTTTCTCACTTGCTCACTTACTTCATCCATCTTCATACATGTGCCAAAATCTGCTAATTTTAGATGTCCATGTTTATCCAAAAGCATGTTGTCAGGTTTCACATCTCTGTGTATTAAACCCATGGAGTGTATTGCATCCAGAGCAAGAACAACTTCAGCAGTATAAAATTTGGCCCATTTTTCAGGTACATCATAGTTACTCATGAGGTTTACAAGGTCTCCACCAGGCATGTACTCCATTACCATGTACAGATACTTATCATCTTGAAAGGCACAAAAGAGCTGGAAAACAAAAGGGAAAGAAAAAAAAACTATAAAAACAAAAACAACATACAAACAGAACAAAAATCAAATTACTGTTACCGTAGAAAAAGGTAAATTGTTTTCAAACCAAAAAAGTTGAAATTCATGAAATCTTCTATTTTAGATTTTGACATGTTTCATGGGATACCTTTTCCTTCAAACTTACTATTAAATATACATAAATGAATTATTATCCATATTAAAGAATATAATATAAAAAATAGAAGCCTTTGAAAGAAAAACAGAATAGGAATGAGAGATATAAAAGGTGAAAATTGATAAAATTTGTTATGGTTCAAGGGAAAGAAAAAAAAACAGAAAGACCCTGAAAACAAACCTGTTTAAAAAAACAACACATTAACTCATAGAATTTTAATAAAACTTAAAAGATACCAGAGCTAACAGACACTAGAAGAAGTAAGCCCCATGCCCCTGGATGAAAAATTTTCTCTCTCCTCAGTACCTCCCTTAAAGTAAGCACTGGATGGCAGTGTGAACAGCATACCGACTAAAGCAGTAGTAATGGGATCAGAGAAATAAGACATTAGTCGAGGTTGTCACTGACTCCCAGGAGAGACATAAGAACCATAAACTCAGAAAGAAAGGTATCTTACTTTCCATCCAATAACATATCCTAAGTAGCATAGTGGTTACGCATTATGCTGCTAACTGCAAGGTCAGCAGTACAAATCCACCAGATGCTCCTCAGAAGAAAGATGAGGTTTTCTGTTTCCAAAATGATTTACAACCTTGGAAACCCTATGTATGAATCAGAACAGGTTCATTGGCACACCATACCACCACCTCTTCTGGAAGCAAGCAATGCAAACAGAAAAGGTTTCCACAAACATGGAAGTTTCAAATGTAAATATAAGAGCAAAACAAAGAATCTACATTTAAGAACAGGTAAACTAAAATATTTTTTAATTTATATCTAAAATTAGATAGTGGTGATAAAAACGGGTCTAAAATTAGATAAATGTAATGGATGCAAAATTCTATGAAAATATTAAAAATCATTGAATAAAAAGTGAGTTATTTTTACTTGCTTTGTCAAAAAGTTAAATATTTCATATTTTTTAATGTTGTTAATTGCTGCAGAATCAGTTCTGACTCATAGTGGCCTTGTATAGGGTTACCAAGGACTGGCTGGTGAGTTTGAATCTCCAACCTTGCAGTACAAACCGAAATATAACGATGCATGGAGTGTTCTTAACCAAAGGAGATAAAACATATAAAGGCCAGGATTATAATCTGAGCTATTTTTCCAATTGTGTTACGTTTCCAATGCTGATCTGTTTCCTCAGATTCATTAAATCTCTACTTCAATTAGTATGGTGTGGAGCTGTAGGATCAGCACTGGATCACCAGGCAGATTTGAACTGAAAGGTTCAAATCTACCAGCCACTCTTCAGAAAGAATTGGAACCAACTCAATAGCACTTAATAACAACAAAGACCCATTTAGAATTAGTGGTCACAGGCACTAAATTATGAAATAATTACCTTTAAGACTGGTGATGAACTTTTACTATAAATAAGCAATGGAAAGGGAGACAAGATAGAATAATAAATTCCTTACTCCACAGTCAAGAGGCTAAAGTAGGAACCTCAATATTGTCTTCCATTATATATAAGATATAAAAGAGACTTTCCAAAATTAGAATTGCTGGAAAATTTTTTTCCCTCTTGCAGTTCAAATGGCTTTGTAGTCTGGCGCATTATAACCCACAGCACCACACCAGAACTCCAGGATAGATAAGATAAGCAGGGATTAAATGCATTGTTGTTGTTGTTGTTAAGTGCCGTCGAGTCGGTTCCAACCCATAGTGACCCTGTATAGGGTTTCTGAGAAGCAGCTGGTGAGCTTGAATCACAGACCCTGCAATTCAAATGGCTTTGCAGTCTGGTGCATTAACCCACAGCTCCACAACAGGATGCATACTGGTGCCTAAACCATTCTTTATAAAGAAAAAGTTGCATTTAACAGTTGCTTCCATACAACAATTTAAATATTACATGTTATGTCAATATGGAGATATCTGGAAACATTAAATAAGTCTTTGGAATCAAATCTTATTAAATATAACTATATTGTTACTACATAAACAAGACAAAACTGTATTATTACTATGTAAACAAGGATTCCTGGAGTGGCACTGTTGAGTTAATGCACAGAACTGCAAAATCGCTTTGAGTCACAAGATGGGTGGTTCAAGCTCACTAGCAGCTCCTCGCAAACCATATACAGGGACGCTGTGGGTTAGAACCGACTCTACGGCACTTCACAACAAAACAAGGTATAAGACATTTAGAATACAAAATCAACTCTTTTGAATAAGTATCTACTTAGAAACGAATTCATAAAAATTAGTAGGCTTACCTGAACCACCCAGGGACTGTTGGCAAAGGCCATAATATCTCTTTCTTCCCAGAAAAAAGCAGAATCTGATCTTTTAATCATTTCAAACTTACTAAGAAGCTTCATAGCATAAACTTTCTGTGATGCCTTATGACGAACCTGTTGATTTTTAAAGGACAAAAATTATTAATACTTTTATTTTATGAACATAAGGTAAACTATATTTTAATGCTATTATTTAAAGACTCTTAGTTAATGTATAAAAAGTAAAAGCATACATTTTTAAGAAATGGGAAATCTTCCAACAGGTTAAAGATATTTCATAAAATGCACAATACCCTTTAAGTGTTAGGTTCAATATACAACTATCTCATCTCATTAAAATAAAACTGAATTCACCAAGTTTCGCTGCCTCATGTTAATTAAGCTAATCAATTTGAATTAAAGATTAAGACAGCACTAAATGAGAAATTTAAGTCAAGATGTCTACTGGAGAAAAAAAGGTATTACTTATGCAGTTTGGAACATCAATGTGTATGTATCCCTCGCTACCTGAGGTCAATAACTTAATAAATGTAGCTATATCAGGGACTATTGGTGATTTTTGTTATCTTTATTTCTTTCTAAGTGTTTGTTTGTAACGGTTAGGGTTCTGTGTCAACTTGACTAGGCCAGAATTTCCAAAGGTTTAGTAGTTGAGATGTGCTTATTCCCATCCATGGTGATGAAACCTAATACAGGATTAGTTAACTCTCTGATGAGTGGCTATGAACAGCCAGTCAATTAAAGGGTTGCTTTCTTGGAGTTGTGGCCTGCTCCAAATATAATGGACGGGGAGAGGGGGTGTATTTACCGCGCATCCACTGGGGACCTGGGACACTGAAACTGTTTCCAAGGAGCAGCTGGTGGGTTGAACTGCTGACCTTGTGGTTTGGTGTCCAGGTCTGATCCTACAATACCACATTGCTTCACTGGTTCTGCTTCTCTAAAATCTGGCCTAAGATAGTATCCTATTTTATTAAAAGATAACATTACATACCAACAAAACAGTATTTTGATCAACACCTAACTTCCCTATGAGTCTGTAAATTTCATAAGGGCCAGGATATGTCTATTGTTGACCACTATTTTTATTACCAAACTAAGTAAATTCTTTACCACATAGCCAATAAATATTTTTTAACAAATGATTGAAGTTGTTGCTGCTGTTAAGTGTCAACTCATAGCAACCGTGTGTAGTGGCTGATGTCCAGTGCTTATTCTACAGCGCCATGCCGCACCAGTTAACACTTCCAAAATCTAAAATCCAAATCCAGTGTCATCAAGTCAATTCCAACTCACAGTGACCTTACAGGACAGAACAGAACTGCTTCCTAGGGTTACCGTGGTTGTAATTTTTACAGAAGCTTCTTTCTATCACAAAGCAGCTGGCATATTAACAATAGTAAACACATTTATGGACTAATGGTGTGGCACTGTGGGTTAATGCGTTAGATTACAAAGTCAGTTTGAATCGCTAGGCTGGCAGCTCAAGCTCACCAGCCGCTTCTTAGAAACACTATACAGGGTTACTATGGGTCAGAACTGACTCGACAGCACTAAACAACAACACATTTATATTTAAACATCTAATAGTCACCTCAAACATGTCTGAAACTGAAATTCTAATCTTTACCCTCAAATTTATTCTTCCTTCATTTTAGTTAATGGCAGCTACCATCATTCCAGTTGTTCCAGCTACAAACTTTTAACTTATCTATAGCCCATATACAACAATCTCAGTCGAAAATCATGTCAATTCTATTTCCAGTAAGTTTCAGGATCCAACTATTTCTAACTATTCTCCCTAATACTAACCTGGGGCCAAGCCACCAACATCATTTATTTCAATGGACTGCAACAGTTTCAACTAATTTCCTTGTTTTCACTTTCACCTACCCAATTCTGGTGATCCTTCTCAGTGTAAACCATTCCCTATGAATCCTTTGTTTAAAACCCTCTCCTGGTGTGGCACTGGACTAGTAAACACAAGTTCAGCAGTTCAAATTCCAGAAACCCTAGACAGGATCCCTATGAGTCAGAACTGACTCAATGGCACTTAACAATGACAACAAAGGCTTCCCAACTTATCACAGCACAGTGCTACTCCCTTTGTTAGCATTCTGGTATGGCAATGTAGGATAGGCACTGGACTGTTAACTACAAGGTCAGTGGTTCAAACCTGCCAGCAACTCCTTCGAAATCCTATACAGGGCCACTATGAGTTGTAACTGACTCAATGGCATTTAACAACAATAACACTCCCTTTGTCTGGAATTACTTCTGGAGGGCACCTTTCCTGACTTCCTGCAGATCTTTGCACCTAAGTAACAGGCTACTAAAACTTTCACTTTAATATTCCCAACTAGCATCACTGCTGCCCTAAAACTCCCCATCTTATTCTCTCTACTTTGTAGTTGTTCCTTTACATTTATTACTAGTAGCATAGTGGTTACGAATCATGCTGCGAACCTTAAGGTCAGCAGTTCGAAACTACCAGCTGTTCCGTGGGAGAAAGATGAGGCATTCTGCTCCCGTAAAGATTTACAACTTCGGAAACCCTGTACAGGGTCGCTATGGGTCGGAACCGACTTGATGGCACTTAACAACAACAAGAATCTTATATCTCTCTCCACAATATAATTTAAGTCCAATGAAGGCAATGATTTTGTGTTTTTTTCCTCATAGACTAGTATGAGAGGGCCTCAAAAAAGTTCATGGAAAAATGAAATTTAAAGATAATGGGAGTTTTTCACGAACCATCTGAAGTGCCCTTGTATAATGCTTGGTAAAAAACTCCCTTTAAATCCATGCTTTCTGAAAGAATTAATTTACTGTGTACTAGGTATTATGTTTTGATACAGGTATCATTTTAGTTTTCACAATAGCACTAAATAAGGTATTTTTACCATATTATAAATGAGAAATTAAAGTAATATTAGTAAGTACCTATTAATATTTTAGGGGAGTGCAGTGACTCCGTAGGATAAGCACAGGACTGTGAACCACAGGGTCAGGGGCTTCAGCCCAGCAGCTGCTCACCAGGAGAAAAATGAGGCTTTCTGCTACCATAAAGAGTTTTTCCAAAAGCCTCAAAACTCTTATGAGTTGGAGCCAACTCAATGGCATTTAACAACAACAACATCAATATTGTAAAGAGTCCTGGTGGGACAGTGGGTAAGCGCTGGGGTTGCTAACCACAAGGTCTGTGGTTCAAATCCACCTGCCACTCTGCAGAAAAGAAAGATGAGGCTGTTCCCATAAAGATTTATAGTCTCACAAACCTAAGGAGCAGTTCTATTCTGCCCTCTGGGTCAATATGAGTGGAAATTCAGTCAACAGCATAGTGAAGGGTTTCTTTTTATTTTATTAATACTGCGTGAGTGCACATAGAAATTAAGTAACTTGTCTCAGGGCAATATAGATCGTAGGTAGAATCAAGATTTAACAGCAGTCAACATAGAATCCATCTATTAGCCAGTTATCTACATTATTTCTACATATATATGTCTACAATTACGATGTAGGCCCAAGACAGTGCCAGATTGTATCTGTTAACTAAAGGTTCCATCCTAATAGGTTCTCTTTTCATTCAAAAGTTTTTCACTTTTTAAACAAGAAATTATATTATCACGTTTCTTGGGAAAAAGGTAAGAAGAAATTCAACCTCCTAATAATAACCACAGGTTCCTAAAAGAATGAGACTATGTTCACCTCCCCAATTTAAACCATGTCAATTTCATTCCCTAGTTCATACTCCAGAATACTTTCTTTCAGTTCCTCTAATTTAGCAAATCTTTCCTCAGGATCTTTACAGGTTCTAGAAACGTACTAGAAAACTTATCCCAGTTCCTGACTTCACCTCTTCCCCAAAGAGACTTGCTCCCTATACACTCAGCTGAAATATTAACTTCTAAAAGATGGTTACTTTGACCACTACTCATTGTTCTCTACTTCAGAGTCCCATTTACTTTCTTCCTATCAGAATTTGCCATTTTTTTACATTGTTTTTATAGTCAGTCTCCCATATTAAAATATAAGCTCAAAAAGGGTAAAGATAATCCATGCAATTGCAATGGCCATCACTGACAGTAAAATAGTCATTCATTAATATTTCTGAATGAATTAATACCTGATTAAAAAATATTTCTTACTTGATAACTAGACAAACTCCGATTTTCTAGCTATAAGAAAAAATTAACACAACACAACAATAATAGTGTCTATAAGTAATCTGGTAGCGTAGTGGTTACGAATCAGGCTGCGAACCTCAGGGTCAGCAGTTCGAAACTACCAGCTGTTCCGCGGGAGAAAGATGAGGCGTTCTGCTCCCATAAAGATTTACAGCCTCAGAAACCCTGCATTAGGGTCACTAAGAGTCGGAATCGACTCCACGGCACATAACAAACAACAACATAAGTAAGTAAGTAAGTAATCTATGGATAGATACATAATAGGTATGAAAGGGAGAGAGTGGGAGGAAATCCACAAATACATATTAGTTTGGCAGAAAATGTTTATACATGGGTATTTACTGCAAATATACCTAAGAATGTGGAAGAGCATACAGGAGGCACTTATGAAAAGTTCTTAGATACAACCAAACACCTTGAAGGAATGACTCACCGGGCCTGGGGGCTCAGGACCAGAGTTTCAGGGGATGCCAAGGTCAATTGACATACCATAGTTCACAAAGACAATGTGCTGCATCCTACTTTGGTGAGTAGCAGTTAGAACCTTAAAAGCTCCTGAGCAGCCATCTAAGGCACAACTATCGGTCTTTCATATGCAAAAGAAAGAAGAGTGATGAAAATGGATGCTACATGGAACTAATTAGTCCAGAAGCCCAGCCTAATGGACCACATGATCATCAGTCTCCATGATGAAAGCAGAATTAGTTGGTGTTTTAGAAAATCTTAACAATGCTACACCTCTTTAATTAAAAAATAGTAATTTCCAGGAAAGCACAGGAAAGAAAAGTGATGAAAATCAAGATAGGGGAATCTACTTGTGTTGAGTATACCCGAATAAATCACTAATTAAAAAAGCAGACAGACATCAGAGAATGGCCAACCATTTGAGATAAAAAGGATAGCATTTACCTAAAGACAAAATTCATA